GTCGACACACCTATCTCTCTGTATTTTTCTCGTTTTGTGTCCCTCTGTGTGTGTGTGTGTGTGTGTTAGTTGCCCAGTCATGTCTGACTCTTTTGTGACTCCATGGACAGTAGCCCACCAGGCTCCTCTGTCCATGGAATTCTCCAGGCAAGAATACTGGAGTGGGTAGTCATTCCCTTCTCTAGGGGATCTTCCTGACCCAGGGATTGAACCCAGGTCTCCTGCATTGCAGGCAGATTCTCTGCCGTCTGAGCCACCAGGGACGCCCTCATGTCCCTCTGGATCCATCTGTGTTTCTTATCTCCCCGCGCCTCTGTCAGTCTCTTGGTCTGGATCTGTTTGCATGAGCACAGATATCATGTGTGTGTGAGTTTTCTCCCTCTCTCTTCCCTTCCTCCAACTCTCCCTGCTTCTTCCTGACATTGGATGGTGCCTCTCCTCCAGGCTGATCTTGTCTTTTGCTCCACCCCGCCCCCCGCCCCCTACATCGGGGTCTCCAGTGAGTCCTGAGCTGCCCCAGGCCCTGGCTCCAGCTTTCTTTGGGGCCAGAAATCCGGCTGTCCAAATATTTGGCCGCCTCCAGGGGATTCCGGGTCAGCAGGGAGGAGGATGGGCTGGCTGGCTCGGGGTCTCCCCTGCCCCTGGGGGGGCCACAGGCACGTGATGTCCTGTCCTTTGCCTCAGCTGAGCCTCGGGCTGCACGTCCTTCTCAGCAGGCTGGCAGTGGGGTAAGGGGGGCTGCTGCTGGCTGTGGCTGAGTCTCGAGCCAAGAGATTCTGACCACAGCTTCCACCGGGTTGGGGGACAACCTGAGTGAGGAGGGTTCAGGGTTAGGCAAGAGGGGAGGCCTAGGTGTCTGGGGATAGGCCCAACGCTAAGCATCTGTTAGATGTTTAGAAAGTGTACCCTGTCACAGGAAAGTCCACCTTCCGGCCCCAGCGGGGGCCTTCAGATCCTCCTAGACGGTTCCGGATACCCAGAACACGGAAGCACAGAGCCAGGGATCTAGGGGGTGAGGGTTGGTGTAGCCGGCACATGGCTGTTCTCCACCACTTGCCTTCCCCTGGATGTGGCCCCTCCTGCCTGCCACCCCCTCAGTACCAGCCAGGGGTTAGCCACACACTGGTCACTTACTCAGTGTTGTTGACAGTGAGGGAGTAGAGGATGGAAGACTGGATCCGCTGAGGTCAAAACCTGGAGTTGTGGGTCTCGAGGAGGGGCAAAGTACTTTTTTTTTAAGCATCCTCTCCTGTTCTAAACATCCTCCCACTTGCCCTGTCCCTAGACCCCTGACCTCAGCAGTCGGCTTCGCACCAATCGCCGTGGCTGTGCCTTGAGAGCATACAGTCCGCACGTATCCGGCAAACCCAGTTTCCCTGTTGACTGATGTCTGGTCTGAGGAGGTTGTTTTCCTTCTGAAGCCTGGAGAGGCAGGTGGACACTAGGCTGGGAGGGGCATCTTCTCTCAGCCAAGGAGGGAAGTTGTAAGGACCCATGAGCTCGAGCTGGAGGCAGCCGTCACCCCTGAGCCCCCAGGGATGAGCACAGTGGAGCCTTAAGCCAGGCCCGCTGCCTCTGCCCTGAGATCTGAGCTGAGGTGGGGGCTGTCCAGGCACAAGGAACCGGGGGGCCATGGCAGCCAGCTCCGTGGGTTCAGTGCCTCCACCAGCGCGTGCAGCCACAGGACCGAGGGAAGGACAGTGTGGATTCTCCCTGTAGCTAAGCCGCCACGGCAGACCCACTCGTGTCCCTGAGCATGGGGGAGGAAAACCGGGCTCGGAGCCCTGGTGACTCCCAGGACCTGGATGAGGGCAGAGGGACACGCTTCCCATAGCAGCTGACGCAAGCAGTGGCCCCACAGTGGCCTGGATTCCTGGATCTTGAAATCTTTAATTAGCCAAACTCAACGCCTGCCGAGGAGGTGTGCCTGACGAATTCTCACCCTGTGATGTCTGCGTGGGCGGACGTTACCTGCTGTGCGATCCCGGTGGCCTCTGGCCCCCGGCTCCCCCCTGCACCTCGGCCCTTATCTCCCAACAGAGCAAACAGGCCCCAGGCCAGTGGCCTGGACCATCGATTTACTGCTTGAACTCATGCTACACCCATGACGGCTGCTGTTCTGATGATCTGCTCAAGGTCGCTGTGGTCTCCCCACCCAAGAGCCTGACCTCTCTCTGGGGGCCTGTGGTCTGCTCTAGGGGCAAAGTCCTCTGGGAGGCGCCTCACTCTGTTCCCACCTTTGGTCAAACCTTACAGAACCCCCGGAGGACAGGAGGACACTGAGGTCCTGAGTGGGGAATACTCTGTCCATGATCCCACTGTGAGGCAGGGCCAGGTCAGGCCTCAGACCCAGAGTGTCCGCCCTGGGCTTCCCCTGCAGTGGGTCAGAATCTCCTGGCTGCTTTCCTCAGTCAGGGCTAACCCCTGAGTCTACCCAGATGTCTGATGCAAAGAGGCCTGGGGATATGACAGGCCTGAGAGATGGGAACAGTCAAAAGTGGACTGCCAGCCTCAGGGAATGGTTAGGGGTCCACATGTCAGGCCAGTGCTAATCTCTACCCTGCCCCCACCTCCAGCCCTTAGTCCTGCCTTAACTGAAGTCCAGGCTCCCTGACCTCAACTTCAAGGCCCTGTCGGGCTTGTCTACAGCCATAGAACCTTCATACTATCCTCACAGCCTGCCTCAGGGCCTTTGCCCACCCATGCTGTGCATGCTGCTTGAGCTGCTCTTTCCTGTTTCCACTCCTTGGGGGCTCCTGCTGGAATTTCAGATCTGGCTCTCTCACCTCCTCCTCCAGGAAGCCTTCCTTGATGCCTCTCTCTCTCTCTCCTGTTTTGAGTCCCAGCACTGTGTGGCTCCATTACAGCAGGAGCCATCGGGTAGGGGATGGGGGGTGGGGAGTGTGTCCCTTCCAGACTGGAAGCCACTTGAGGAAGGGTATTCTGTGTCCTCTCTGGGATCTCAGGCCAGCCTGTGACTCAGCACTGACTCATCATGAGTACTAGGCAGGACCTGAAGGTCTAGGCCTCAGGTCCTGCCGAGGGGATGGGGAGCCTGAATCGAGGGCCTTGGGCACCTTGGCCATGCCTGTGCCAGGCGCTGTGGTCTCCCTGGAGGCAGTGCTTGGCTGCTAGGGAAGAATATTAAGGCAGAGAAGAGTGCTTTGTCCAGTCTGCCGACTCAGCACACCCAGAGGGCCTGTCCCAGCCTGCCCAGGGCAGGAGGCCTGGCAAGGGTAACCCTGGCTGGGAGCCAGGGGGCACTCTGGAGTGACTCTGGAGATCAGGTGCGGGTATCCTTGGAGGGGTACTCTTGTGAGGCTCAGGGCAGGGGCATGAGGAAGACAGGCCGACCTGGGGGACTCTGGTCCAGGGGAAGAGGGCATGAGAAGAGATGCTCAAATTGTCATGGTGCTGCGTGGACAGGCAGGAGGAGAGAAAGGTGTAGGTGCCAGCATCAGAGGAAGGAGAGGCAGGGTAAGTGATCCAAGGGTGCCAGGTATGGGGTCTTCAGGACCGAGGTGCCTAGGATCGGAACTCTGCCTTGCGGCTGCGTCGGGCAATCACAAAGAGGTCCTTTGGTCAATTCCATGTGGTTCCTGCCCCGAGGACACCAGGGCCTGCGGCCTGAGGCTTGAGTCCTGCGCTTAGCCTCCCCTCCCCACCCTAGCCCTAAATGCTGAGTCTGAGATCCCTGGTGCTCTAGTTTTAAGAGCACACTTGACACCATCAGGATCTGGAGGTTTGGGGCGGGATGCCGGGTTCCCAAGCAGAGGGACTAGTCAAGACTAGGCTCTGGCTGACCTGCCTGGCAGTGCTGCAGCCTCCCTGGTCTCTGCCCTGGCCTTCTGTCTGGCCTTCAGGATGTCCTTAGAGATGCTTGGGGGCACTATGCCCAGGTACCTTCTAGACATGGGGTGGGTGGCTCCCAGCCCCAGTGATGGGAGAGGGGCCAGCGAGTTGTCTGGGCAACGGGCAGAGCTGGGCACGGGGAGGAGGGGAGCCCTTTGAGGTCCAGCAGAGCACAGGGAAGGGAAGACTGATCCAGCGGTCCAGTCCCATCTACAGCTGGCCAAGGGGAGCTCCTGATCTGGGGCTCCAGGCGGTGGGGAGTCTGCTCAAAGTGTGGGCACCTAAGGGTGGGGGCTTCCCCAGCAGGGGAGGAGAGGCTTGAAAGAGAACATGGCCCTGAGGCCATGGCTGCGTGGCCCAGAAAACTGGGCTCTGGGGGCTCCCATTTCCTGGAAGGCCATGTGGGCACTTTGCAGCTGAGCGGGCAGGGCCCAGGTGTCCAGCCACCCAGCACCGCCTCAGGCCTCCTGACTCCGGGGGGGTAGTCTCTGCGCCTGCCGTTCCCAGCGCCAGCTCTCAGCCCACAGAGGGCCTTTTGTTCTAGCTGCCAGCAAAGCCCGCCGGGCGGCTGGGAACAGGGCCCACAGCCCTCGCCCTGTCCCGAGGCTTCCAGCCGTCGGGCAGTGCCGTTCTAGGTTGGCTCGGAGGCCCCTGGCACACAGGGCACAGGAAACCGTCTCCCGGTATTAATGTCAGGGAGGGGGAGTCAGCCCAGGGCCCACCCCCAGAGAGGGGTCTGGAGGCCTGGGACTCAGCACCCTCGGGTTGTGGCAAGTCAGGTCATGCAACTGACCCTTACTTCACAGATGGTAAAAGCAAGGCCCCCAAAAGACTTGCCTGGGCTGCTACGTCTATGTGGCGGTGGAGGGGGCAAGCGCTAGGTGCTGGCCGAGGTGTCCCCTCAGGATGGCCTGGGGGGCTCAGGGATGCCAGCTCTGCCCCTCAATGGCAGCTTCCAGGGACTCAGCAGGCAGATGCGAGTGGATATGTCCCCAGTGAACTGGGAGGTGTGCTACAGAGCAGACTTTCTGCTGGAGTCTGGGCCACAAGCCCAAGGAGTGGGAATAACCAGAAGGACTGTCTGCTTTGCAGACGTCTGACCGCATCAGTGTGCGAGCCGGTGTTCCTGTGGCGGTGGTCCCGGAGCCATGGAGGCACCTCTGCAGACAGAGATGGTGGAGCTGGTGCCCAACGGCAAGCACTTGGAGGGGCTCCTCCCAGTTACTACTCCCACAGCTGGTGGCCAGAGGTGAGCGCGGGACCCCGTCTAGGCATATGGCAGGGCGGGGTGTGGGGGGCAAGAGGCTAGAGCTAAGCTACGTGCCCTGGCCTGTGCCTGCAGGGTCGAGGGGCCCGGACGGAGCTGTGTTGAGGGCGAAGGCTTCCTACCAAAAAGCCCCAGCAAGGAGCCACACTTCACCGACGTGAGCAGGGGCTGCAGTCGGGGGCTCAGGGGCATGGGAGCAGTAATGAGACGCACCGGGAGGCTGAGGGACAGTGCAGGAGGGAACGTTAGCTTGCCCTCCGCAACTCGCTGACTCACCCCACCCTCCCGTCTCACTCTGGTGCCCGCAGTTCGAGGGGAAGACATCGTTCGGGATGTCAGTGTTCAACCTCAGCAATGCCATCATGGGCAGTGGCATCCTGGGGCTCGCCTATGCCATGGCCAACACGGGCATCATCCTTTTCCTGTGAGTGTCCTCAGCAAACCTTCTAAATACAGGAGCCCCAAACAGGCCACCAACCCTGACCTCCAAGGACCTACCAGTTTCCTATCCCAAGACCCAGGCTGCAGTGGGTGGGCACTTACACTCGCCCCAAACCACAGCTGGAAAAAAAAAAAAAAAACCCAGCCCTGGCCAGACAAATATACCTCATTTCCTGGTAAACCTGCTGAGATGACGACACAGGGCCAGCCGAACAGGCCTGAGTCTGTCCTACCACATTTAACACGTCATGGATGAATCCAGTGGCCAGGCCATATGTGGGTACATGTGTCCTTACCTGGGAGCTCTGCCCTGCAGCCTAAATGGAAAATATGTTTGTTCTGAGATCTCAACGGGAGGTGGTGCTTAGAGGGTCTCTTCTGAGTCCTGACCACCCTGGGTCAACCTGGGTGGTGTTCGCCACCCCTGGGGACTGTCAAGTTTGCATACACATATGTTGGGGGTCCAGACACCTGGGTTACAGACCCTGCACACCCAGCCCCTCCCCAGAGCTCATCGTCCCCTGCTTGCCAGGTCTGAGCCCCAGTAGCCTCTTTTCATCCGCCTTCCCCAGGTTCCTGTTGACGGCCGTCGCCTTGCTGTCCAGCTACTCCATTCATCTGCTACTCAAGTCCTCAGGGATCGTGGGTGAGCCCCAAATTTGGCCTGTAGCAGGGAGGAGTGGGCTGGGGAGAGCTCTTCTGACTGTCCTGGTTCCCTTCCCCCATAGGCATCCGTGCCTATGAGCAGCTGGGCTACCGTGCCTTTGGGACCCCAGGAAAGCTGGCAGCTGCCCTGGCCATCACGCTGCAGAACATCGGAGGTGAGGCTGATGGACAGGCCAGCAGTGGGCGGTGGGCAGGCTGAAGGCTGGCTGGTTTGGCTGACCTGCCCTTCTCCCTGCAGCCATGTCCAGCTACCTGTACATCATCAAGTCCGAGCTGCCCCTTGTCATACAGACCTTCCTGAACCTGGAGGATCGGACCTCGTGAGCCCCAGGGTGGGGCGGGGCTGGGTGAGGGTGGGAGGCTCTGGGCTACCCCCACTGCTTGCCCTCCGCTAGCAGAGCTCAGGCTGGACTAGTGGGAAAGACCAGCCAGGGTGCAGTGGGGGGCAGAGAGCTGCTGGAAAAGCTGAAATTCAGTGCACAAGCATTTATGAGGCATCTTGGGGAACCTTCCCAGGAGAGCCTTCTGGGGCTGGAAGGTGCAGTGAGGCTGAACAAGCTGGCCCCGCCTAGCCCTGGATCCAGCCCATGAGCACGGAGGACCTGAGAACCTCGGGCTTAGCTCTAAGCTCCTGCTATTCCTGACCACGGCTTGGGTGTTAGCTTCCCCCCACCTCGCCCCAACCGAGAAATTAAGCCCACAGTGTCCCAGTTGCCTATCATCAGTTTAGCCAGTACTGATGGCATAGCCATGTTTTGTGGGTAAGAGCAGAGAAGATAGCCAGGCCCTGCCCTTGGAGACACAGCCCCAGCATGCAGAGAGGCCGTGTGGCTGTGAGCAGCTCTGGGTGGAAACAAACAGCCAGGATTCGGTGCCCAGGCCCTGGGGGCCTCTCCTGCGAAGTTGGCCTTTGGACTTGCCCTGGAAGGAGGTTCTCTTTCCTCATCCCCATGCCCACTGTCTATTGAGGGTGTGGGCCAGATGATGTAGGATGAAGGTCCTGGGGGCACCGCAAGGAGCTCAGGTGGTTGGCAAGTCCCTGAGACCCCCATGGAAAATACCCCCCCGCCCCCAGACCCAGGTGTTTTCATCCCACCTGCTTAGGGCTACTTCCTGGGCAGGCTGGACCCAGATCTGTGGGTCCTGGGAAAAACAGCCATAGTGACTGTAATTGTGATGGTTACCAAGCGGGAGCCGTGGGTGTTAGTCCTCACCCTGCCCCGGAGAATGCTGGGCGTGGGCCCATTTTGCAGATGGAGAAAGGGAGACTCGGAGGTAGGGACGAGTATTCTTCAGAGGTCGCTGCGTGGCATCCCTCAGTGGTACCGCTGACCCCGACTGAGGGCGAGCCAGCCGCGCCACCCGAGGCTGAGTGACTAACTTGGCTCCCCACTTCCGCCCCTGCAGGGACTGGTACATGAATGGAAACTATCTGGTGATCCTGGTCTCTGTCGTGGTCATTCTTCCCCTAGCCCTGATGCGGCAGCTCGGTGAGCGTGGCGGCGCCAGGGCCTGGGGCCTGGGGCAGGCGTGGGAGGACCCCTCCGACTCACATGCACCCTCCCGCACCTTGCAGGCTACCTGGGCTACTCCAGCGGCTTCTCCCTTAGCTGCATGATGTTCTTCCTAATTGCAGTGAGTCACCCTCCACGTGGGTTCAGGGAGGGGGCAGATCTTTCTGGGCAGCCTGGGTCAGGAGGGCAGCTCCACGCCTCTTGATCTGCACGTGGCTTCACAGTGACTTCCCAGGACCCCTGCCTGGCCCTGATGCCCTCATCCTCTCCCCGCCCCCCAACTGCCCACCTAGGTCATCTACAAAAAGTTCCACGTGCCCTGCCCGCTGTCCCCCAATGTGGGCAACACGACAAGCAACATCAGCCTCGTGGAGATCGACAAAGAGGCAGGGCTGCAGGCCAAGACGGAGGCCGGGGCGTTCTGCACCCCGAGTTACTTCATGCTCAACACTCAGGTTGCAGCAGGCCAGGGGAGGGGCAGCAGGCCTGGGGAGAGTGTGGGACCGGTGAGGGGGGCGGCCTGTCCTGACACAGAATCCGTGTTTCCTCAGACGGCATACACCATCCCCATCATGGCTTTCGCCTTTGTCTGCCACCCTGAGGTGCTGCCCATCTACACGGAGCTCAAGGAGTAGGTATCCATGTATGGGAGAAGGGGAAGTGGTCCTTCTCCCTGGAGTGAATGGAGGTGGTCCTACCTGGGGAGGAATGTCAGGAGCCAAGTCATTTTATCCAAGGTCTCTATGGCTGCCAGAGGGGCGACTGGGGGCGAGAAGGAGGCTCCTGAGCTACCAGATGGTGAGGGTGTGTTGCCAGAGAGAGACCCTAGGACACCCAGGGTTTCCCAGTGTTGCCCAGCTTGGCACCAACCCCCTCCCCTGCTGCCCCATAGCCCCTCCAAGAGGAAGATGCAACGGATCTCCAACCTCTCCATCGCCGTCATGTATGTCATGTACTTCCTGGCTGCCCTCTTCGGCTACCTCACCTTCTACGGTATGGCTGGACCATGGGGGGCAGAGGCAGAGGCCAGGCTGGGGGGCAAGGGGCTGGCCAGCGGCCACGGCAGCCTGCGTACTATAGGCGCTCATTAGGTCTGTGATGCCTGTCTGTGCCCTGCGACTGTGGAGGTGAGTCGGTTGCCACTCCCCACAGTGTCAGGGTCAACCCAGGCTCAGAGCCCAGCCCCCTCCCCGGACCTCCTGCTGACCACCCTCCCTGCCTGCCGCAGACGGGGTAGAGTCGGAGCTGCTGCACACCTACAACAAGGTGGACCCGTTTGATGTGCTGATCCTGTGCGTGCGCGTGGCTGTGCTGACGGCAGTCACACTCACAGTGCCCATCGTTCTGTTTCCGGTGAGCCAGCGTGCACCTGGCCAGGACCAAGGCCGGGGAGTGCGGGGGAGGCGGGGGCGGACTGAGGTGGGGGCGGACTGAGGTGGTTGACAGATTGATAACTCTCCCCGCTCCGCTTCCCAGGTACGCCGCGCCCTCCAGCAGATGCTGTTTCCTGACCGCGAGTTCAGCTGGCTGCGGCACGTGCTCATTGCGGTTGGCCTGCTCACGTGTATCAACCTGCTGGTCATCTTTGCCCCCAACATCCTGGGCATCTTCGGGGTCATTGGTAAGGAGTCTGGACCTCCTGTGAATGGAGGCAGGGTGCTGCCCCAGGAAACTTCCTCTCTGCAAACCCTGGCAGATTCCTGAGCTCAGACCCTACATTTAAGAGATGGCTGCCTGCCATGTGCAAGCTTGGCCTCCCATCTGAGATTTGTTCTTAAGGGTCTGTCTCTTAATCCATTTTGAGGGCTCAGAACCACTGGGTCAGTTACCCCTGCTGGAGGTGTTGGGGGATGGGGTGGAGCCCAGGGGTCAAGGGGCCTCCACAAAGGATTTCATCAGGCCTTGTCCCCACCCCACATATGAGGAAGTATACAGTGATTAAGGGAGAGTCATATAGCTATTAAGCGGAGAGCCTTGATTCAACCCCAGGATCATGGAACCATAGATTTGGGCTTCTGTCCAACTGTCCCAGTTGGAGCTCTGAGCGGGAAGATCAAACAGTTCTGACATCTTTGGGGTGACTCAGCTCAGGGAACTGACTCTTCAACTCTGCAAGGACTAACACACTGACCTGGGGACTGAGTAGCATTTATATCATAGACAGGATTCTTGGTTCTATATGTCTGAAATCTGACTCAAAATGAATTAAGCATAAAGTAATGCGTGGGCTCAGTTGATTGAAATGCCTGCAGGAATAGCTGTATCCAACAGTCCAATATCCTCAAAGCTTTGTCTATCTCTTGGCTTGTTTTTTGCTATCTTTCACTGACAGATTCTTCAGATACCAAAAGCCCTAACCTTCTATCCTGGTGGATGGAGAATAAGGGGAGGGGCTGATGGACTTTCCAGAATCAGGCAGAGTTCTCAAATGGAGTTTCAAGATGAGACTCCCTCATCAAGGAATGTTGGATCTCATTAAAGTGTCCGACCCTGAACTTTAGCCAGTAGGTGGAAGCGAGCCAACAGTCGTGATCTTCGGTCGCTCAGTTGTGTCCGACTCTTTGCGACCCCATGGACTGCAGCACGCCAGGCTTCCCTGTCCTTCACTGTCTCTCAGAGTTTGCTCAAGGTCATGTCCACTGAGTCAGTGATGCCATCCAACCATCTCATCCTCTGTGAGGAGCCAACAGTGGCCATGTCTTTGCAGGTGCCACATCTGCCCCATGCCTCATCTTCATCTTCCCGGCCATTTTCTACTTTCGCATCATACCCACCGAGAAGGAACCTGCAAGGTCTACCCCCAAAATCCTGGTGCGAAGGGCCTGGAGGTCAGTGGGCTGGTGTGAGACTGAGGGGGTCTGCCCCGACCTCAGGCCTGACCCTGACTTCTGATCCCACAGGCCCTTTGTTTTGCTGCACTTGGCATCTTGCTGATGACCATGAGCCTGAGCTTCATCATCATGGACTGGGTCTCGGGCACCAGTCGGCACGGGGGAAGCCACTAGGATGACCTCCGCATCTCCTTCTGTCTCCTCGTCCTCGTCTTCCTGCCCAGACTCCTCAGTCCCTGCTCCCATCTAGTGGCCAGTCGGTGGGGGGAGGAGAAAGGCGTGCTGAGCACTGGCATCTGGCCCTGCCCAGTTTGTTAGCGCCAGGACCAAGGCCCTTGGGCCACTACCCCACTGAGCTCCTGGGCTGCAGGGGCTTCCTGAGCTGGGAGCAGGGTGGGGCTGGGCTCCTGCTCCCTTCCTGTTGCCTCAGATCCTACCCAAGCCCCTTACCCTTTTTGCACAGGTGCATAGACTGAGGCCCAGCGGCTGCCCCCTCAGGTCCCACAGCCTGTAGAGGCCACACAGAGCTGAATCAGCCTGCAGTCATCCCCCACATTGCTGCCGGGCTATGGTCTGCACCCTGGGGCCTCATCTCCCTCAGCCCACTTGCCTTTCCTTCTTCTGTCCCCGAGGCCCCTTTCAGGCACTGGGGCTCAGGCCTTTGGATAATCTAGTCCTCTTTGCCCATCCCCCCAACCAAGAGCAGACACCCCCCTGGCCCCCGCAACCCCCCTGCCCGCCTCACCCTATCCCTGAGGCCAGAACTTGGTTTTCAATTGAGGTGGGTGTGGGTACCCCCAAGGGACCTCTTCCCTGGCCCTTTGCCAGTCCTGGGGAGGCTGGGACTCCCCCCCACCCCAAACCCAGGCCACAGTTCACATTCCACTGCTGGGAGAAGAAAGAGGCTGGGGCCCAGAGCGTCTGTGCCCCTAGGACCAAAGACCCTGGGGGCCAGTCTGGGGCAAGGGTGGAGAAGCTGGCAGCCCCCTTTTATAAATATTATACATAAGACCAGCTGTGCTTTATATTCTTGATCTCCAGGGTGCCTGGGTTGCTGGAAGGTGGGGTGGGAGCCGGGACACGGATGCTGATGGAAGCCCACCCTGCCTGTTTCCCTGGGATGAGTGTGGGACAGGGTGAGTCCTCTACCCCATCCTGTCCCATGCCTCCCAAACCAAGCAGCGGCGTGCTGAGACCCAGTGCTGGGCCTGGGCCAGGCTTAGCACAGACCTGCTTTCTCACGGGGTGAGGTGGGGAGGAATTAATGAGGCCCCAGGAAATGGGACAGAGAGAGGCCTCCGGAAGGAGGCAACGTGAGGTGCATCCTCAGCAGCTTCAGGGAGGGTCTGAGCTAGGGGCAGCTGAGCCCGGCAGAAGCCCCGCAGAAGGGCCCACTACCCTCCCTGGCTGCCATGTCAACCCTCTGTCAACGGCTTGCATCTGGGGACAAAAGCCCTGGGATCCTGGGCCCTGTCTGGATCTTTTATTACTAGTAAAACCTGCTGTGAATAAAGGTGGGTTAGCAAGTGCCTATATGTGGGGCCTGAATTCTGAGAGGGGGTGTCCAACGCAGGGCAAGAGTTCCAGGGATGCAGAGTGGCCCCAGGTGCCCCAGCCTGGGACAAGGGGCCGGCTGGGGAGCTGCCCATTGCCCGGGGCAGGCCTGAATCAGCTGGAACTCAGCAGGATGGAGCTGCCCAGGCTTTGGCATCAAACCCTCATTAGGAAAGACCCCGTACCCGGCTAGGCGGCTGGGGAAAGGGGCAGCAGGAAAAATCCAGTTTGAACTGGCAAGGCAGCTGCCAGCCTGAGAAACCCCTGAAGAAAGAACTTCCTCAAGTCGGTGGCTGCTAGGCCCATGGCAGTGCCAGCTGATCAGAGGGGGGCTTCCTGAGTCTGGTTCTCATCAGTCCCGGGCGCCTGACTCCAGCCTGGGTACTCACCCAGGAGCCCTGTGGCCCCAGGAAAGAGCTGGACACTGGCCTAGAGGTGGCCACAGCCCAGAGTACCCCTGGGGAGCAGGGCTACCCTCTGCATGGGAATGTCTGGCTTCTTCCTCGTCAGCTGGGGCCATCGCCCTGCCCGAGACCCTGGACTCCTGGGGAGTAGGAGGCAATAAAGGCCAGGGTCCATCCTGCTGACAGACCCTAGGAGTCTTGTCTTATACTCCTTCTATCCAAAGAAGGTTGCAGGCCAGAGCAGCCACAGGACCGCCTGGAATCCCTTAAGACCCCCAGGCCTGGCTTCAGGCCTCTCAGATCAGTAGCTCCACCCAGCCCTCCCACCCACCACCCTCACACACCCACCCACATATACACATATGGGGTGGACCAAGGGCTCTGGCCCATGGAGGCCATCTCTCCCTGCCTAGCAAGGTCTCCTCCAGGCTGATGGGTGGGCAGTGGCTCCAGGGGGAAGGGGGCAGTCAATGTGGCCACTACACTATATCCAAAAGTCGGGTGCCCACAAGATGGTTTGCAAATGAGGATCTCTTTAGCCCTGGCTGTCAAGTTCTAAGCCATTCAGCCTCTGTGAAGATGGGTCTGCTGGCCATTGGTTATCACTAAGCACTTTTATGTGTTTGGAAGAATTTCTCAGGACATTTTTCTTCTTTCTTGCTTTTTAGAATTGCTCTGGAAAAAAACCTTTTTTTAATCTGAAATGTTAACAAATTAGCAGGAATTCCCTGGCAGCCCAGTGGTTAGGACTCCATGCTCTCACTGCCGAGGACCCGGGTTCAATTTGTGGTCCATGGTCAGGGAACTAAGATCCCACAAGCCATGAAGCAAGGCCAAAAAAAATTAGAGCAGCACAAAGGTCGTCTATATTTCTTTCCACCTCTTTCCTTATGACTTCTTGCAACAGAAAAACAAGATGATATAGACCAGGAAAAAGGGCCAAAGCATGTGCCTTGGTCTCCCTGACCAGCAGCTGCCTCTGCCCACCCTTCTTGCCTGTATGCACATGCACAGATTCACCTAACAACTGAAAAAGAATCCACTGTTCATTCATTCGACAAGTATTTATTAAGATTTCCTATGAGCCAGGCACTCTTCCAGCACCTATTCATACAGCAGTGAACAAATTGAAGACCCCTGCCTTCCTTGAACTTATATTCTAGGTGGGGGATTAGATTCAGACTAGAAACATGAAACATAATCCGTTAAGTTATATCATTTGTTAAAAGATGATCAGTAGTATAGGGAGTAAAGATGGCGTGGTAAGGGCAATGAAGAACAAGGGTTGGGGAACTTCCCTGGCAGTCCAGTGGTTAAGATTCCACACTCCCAACGCAGGGGACACAGGTTCAATCCCTGGTCGTGGAACTAAGATCATGCATATTATGCAGTGGGGCCAAATAAAATAAAATTTAAAAGGTTAGGAGGTGGATCAGGTGGGCCTCACTGAGAAAGGGACATTTGATCAGAGCTTGGAGAGAGGGAAGCCATGCAGATGTCTGCAGGGAACATTCCAGCTAGGAGGATCAGCCAGTGCAAAGCCCTGAGGCAGAATGTGCCTGGCATGGGAGAGGGGCAGCCAGGAAGCCATGGAGACTAACGGTGAGTGAGGTGAAGGGGGGCTGAAGAGACGAGTGGTGGCTACGGAAGGGATGTCGTGGGACCTTGTCAGCCACCATAAGACTTCGGATTTTTCTCCGGAAAAGGTGAGAACCAAGGCCAGGTCATGAACAGAGGAGGGGGCAGGATCTGACTCAGTAGCAGCTCAGTTTTAAATGGATTATTCTGGCTGCTGCATTGAGACTAGACTCTGGGGTGAGGGACAGGGAGCAAAAGGGTGACGGGGACACAGGGCTATTACAGATGGTCCAGACGGGCATGTCAGGCGTCTCAGCCCAGCTAGGGGCACAGTTAGGGCGAGAAGCTGGGCATGTCCTGCAGGTAGAGGTGGCAGGGTTCCCCGATGGCTTGGGTATGTGTGTATGAGGGGAAGGGCAGAGACAAGTCCAGGGTGACTCCAAGCTTCTACTGTATGTGCTGAGGGAGGCTAGAACAGGAGTCTTGGGAGGGAGATCAGTTTTGTCCATGAAAAGTTTAAAGCACTGACTGGACATCAAAGTGGAAATGCCATTTTTATGCTAAGGTGTGTGACTCAGGTTCAGTAGAGTGACCAGTACTGGGGCCTTGGATTTGGGAGGCAAAGAGAGTGGAAGCCAGGTACTTGAAGCCAGATACTTGGTACTTGAAGCCAGGGGTCTAGATGTGATGGGGAGGGACAGTTTGGGTTTGGAAGGAGGAGGGGAGCAGTACGGACTGAGCCCTGGAACATTTCTCTGTTGGGAGGTAGGAGAGATGAGGTGAAACCTGCAAAGAAGCTGGTGGGAGCAGCCAGGAGATGGGAGGAAACCCAGGAGAGTGTGGGCTCACGGGAGACAGGCAAGCATCAGCTGCTCAAGGAGTTGAGGGTGGAGCACAAACCAGTGGGTCCAGCAATGTGTAGGTCACTAAGGACCTTGGCCAGGGATTTTTTTGGGCAGGGAAAGGCAAGCCTGTCTGGAAAGGGTAGAGGAAGGAGAGGTAGGACCTGGAAATAACAATCATAGACAATATGTATGAACTTAGAGGGGCAGGGCTGACAGAGACGTTTAAGGAAGTCTGGGAAGAAGCAGCAGTTATTGAGGGTATGAGATGGGAAGAAGCTGGCAGGGTGGTGGGTTGGAGGCAACAGAAGGATTTCTGGGCCAGAGCCCTGGAAGACAGCACATGGAGATCGGACAGTAGCATCAGGGGGCACTCAGCGTGGCCAAGCCAAGCGCTGCTAACAAGCAGCATCCTGGGTCCAAGATGGAGCCAGGGACCGGGAGGAAAAAACACATGTGCTTAGTCGTTCAGTTGTGTCTGACTTTTGCGACCACCAGGCTCTTGTAGCCCACCAGTTTCCTCTGTCTATGGAATTTTCCAGGCAAGAATACAGGAGCAGGTTTGCCATTTCCTACTCCAGGGGATCCTACTCCCGACCTATGTATGAAACTCATGTCTCTTGCATCTCCTGCATTGGCAGGTGGATTCTTTACCAGTGGGCCACCTGGGAAGCCCCCACAAGGAGCATATGGAGGGACCCAGAAGACTCACTCAGGTCTTAACTTCCTTTAAAGTCATCCAGCAACTAATTTTCAAACATCGTCGCTGTTGCTCAATCGCGTCTGACTCTTTGTGACCCCATGGACCCAGCCCACCAGTCTCCCCTGTCCATGGGATTCTCCAGGCAAGAATACTGGAGTGGTTTGCCCTTTTTTTTTTTTTTTGACGGTGGAACAGTAATAATAGACTGAATGCTACTTAGAAAGAAAATGTAGCCCTGGGAAATATCGGAAAGAACAGAACTGCTTTCAAAACCATACAAGGCTGCAAACCTGCCCTGCCACGCGCAGCCAGACCTGGGACTGGATTAAGTTGAACCCCCCACACCCATCCACTCCCGACCCAGCCTGTCCATACAAGGCGGCCTCTGCTGCCCCCTGGCGGTCAACGGTCAGAGTCTGGGCTGTGCGGTGACTCAGCCCATACATTACAGAACCTGGTGGTGGGGATGCTCAGCTGCATGTGCAGGGAGCCCTGAGGTTCCAAGGCTGTCCAAGAAAAAATCCTGGCTGGCGCATGGGAGGGGCGCAAGCAAGAAGGCTTCGGGCCGGCCAAAGGAGGGGTGGGGGCTTCATTCATTCAACGCTGGGCATCTTGAGCAAGTGAGTAGCTTCCACTCTCACGCTTGGCCAGGTCCTTAGGGAACCAGGCCTTTGTCCCTTCCTCCATGAGTTGCCAGACCTTGGAGGGGTTCCTGGCGCAGAGGAAGGGGCTGGAGTCCCAGACTCACACTTAACCGTGCGTTCTGAGAGCCCCACGAAGCATCACCCTGTTCGTCTCTTTATCCTGTCCACATCTCTCCTGGGGTCAAGCTCATCAAGGCACCCGGAGCCCCCAAATCGCACCCGCCCGCGGCCCCCGGCTTAGTTTACAATATGGGCACTCAGCCACCCCAGCCGTGGGAAGCAGG